ACTTGCTGAAGAAAACCAGAGATTCCCTCACCAGTTACAGAAACACTGGATTTTCTGATGCACAGACAGTTGCAAAGAAGATGTGTGAAGAGATGAATGTGGAGGCTGAACTCAAACAAAAGCGTTTGAGAACCACAAAAAGGCCCTTTGGCTATGAGTCTCCAGATGAGCCCATACAAGATGCACTACGAAAAATGGAAACCACATTTTTTAATGTGGTCGTGGATACTGCCATCTCTTCACTTGATGAGAGATTTCAGAATCTTGGCGAGGTGAATAACACGTTTGGTGTGCTCCTCGATTTCCCCAACTTAGAAGAAGAGGACCTGCTACAGAAGTGTCAAACCCTAAGTACTGCTCTGACCCATGACAGCCAGCCGGACATTGATGGCACAGAACTTGCAAAGGAAATGAAGAATTTCCCACCATTGCCATCAAACAATATGACAAACATGGAACTTTTGACCTTCCTGCATGAGAAGAAGCTGGCAGAAATTTACCCCAACATGTGGGTTGCTTTGAGAATCTCTGCCACTCTTCCTGTTACAGTGGCTGGTGCTGAAAGAAGCTTCTCTAAGCTCAAAATGATTAAAAATTAGCTGAGATCTACTATGATGCAAGAACGTCTCAGTGGACTTGCCATTATAAGCATAAACCATGTGGTCTGAAATCAGTTGTCATATGATGATGTTGTAGATGACTTTGCTGCAAGAAAAACCAGGAGAGTAAAGCTGTAGCAGGTTATGTGAGATTGAGGAGGTGATGGTGTAGTTTTTAAGTCACGGCAGTACCAAAAACACCACTAGAGGTCTTTGTAAGATCATCTTTTTATTTTTATTTAAATCCTTGTATTTTTTTGTGCCTACTCGTTTCTTTAATATCTTTTTTTGCACTGTGCTGTATTTATATTGTATTTTTAAGTTAATGTCACTTGTTTACACTTTTTATTTTGGGAGTATTAATAGGTACTTTATGTAAGCTATTTATATAATATTTCATATGTTCAGTTCATTTTTTTGTATTTGTTTCTTTAATTCTTTCTAAGTATTTTGAATGTGCAATTGCTTTATTTAAATAAAAGACTGTCCAAGACAAAGCTATTACGTTTCTTATGAGTATATACACTAGCAGTGGAATTTACTGCGATGCAGCGGGGCACCACCTGAAATCTTGCCTAGGGCGCCAAATTGGTTAGGGCCGGGCCTGAGCAGGAGGGTGGAACGGGAGCTGGCTCTGTCCACTTCACACAGAGCCGGTACTGCAGTATCTCGGACCAGTGTGCCCCTCCAAACCAACTACAATTTGGTTTACTAGATTTGGTAACACTTTATTTTGCAGGTCTCTACATTTCAGTATATTTCCAAATTTCCTATACGTTTCCTGATAAGCACCACATAATTTGGTACTAACCACATATGAAATAATCACAGTAAATGAGGTAAAGTTAGAGAGTAATCAGTTGGTACATTTCTAAATGCTAAGCTGGAAAAAACGTGAAGCGTTGATTCGGAGGACAGAAGATGAGCTAGACATGCAAAGTGTGAAATTAGTTTACAAACAACCACATGATTCTGCATAAACGAATAACAAATACATCGTAAACATTGACTGGGGTTTAGCTGAGCAATATTTTTCATGGAAATTCATCTGATAAGCTTAACACAACTCAATGGACTAGCTAAAAATAAAAGAAATGGAAAAAGTGAAAACGCTGTGTTGTTATTGCTACAATGAAAGACAGCAACACAACTCAATGGACTAGCTAAAAATAAAAGAAATGGAAAAAGTGAAAACGCTGTGTTGTTATTGCTACAATGAAAGACAGCAATACAACGAAAATTCGAGCCAGACTCTGAACTCTGTCTAAAGCGTTATAACGCTTTTACAAGGAGCCAATACTCTACCGTTTAAGTTTACAGCTTGTGAGCATCAGATATAATGCTGCGTTTGTCAGCAGGGTGTAAAGGGCAACACGTTGCTGCTTAGTCCTGGGTGTCGAGATAAGGCGGCTCAGGTTCACTGTCACATATTAACATCTAACTTAGGCTCCACACAACAACTACGTATTTTTGTCTTTCAGAAGTAAAACCAAACAAGGAATGTTAAGCTGAAGATAAGGGTAATTGTTATTTGACAAATAAAGGAGGGGGTGCACCGGTCCCGGAGATACTGCAATACCGGGTCGACTGTCCTATTCTATCTCCCTGTTCCAAAAATCAATCAATTTAATATATGGTCCCCGGGTAGGGGACGTATCAGATATTAAACTGATAAGAACAGATACTACACTTGATCTTAGCCAAAAGGCCGAGAAGCGATGCCGCTAAACTGTCGGAGGTAAGGGGGCCATGCTTCGCACAGTCACTCTCGCTGGTGGGTCCTTATATCTGTGGAGGGATCCGGCGTCCCACGATGCGTTTAGGTGACTGCCTGTAAAACAAAACAATCCAACTGAACGCTGTATCTGTGTCATATCACTGAAACGTACAAAACGTGTTAATATAAGAAAAAAAACTGAGGGATTGATAAAGCATTGGGTGAAGTCGTTGGGTATTTATATTGTATTTTTAAGTTAATGTCACTTGTTTACACTTTTTATTTTGGGAGTATTAATAGGTACTTTATGTAAGCTATTTATATAATATTTCATATGTTCAGTTCATTTTTTTGTATTTGTTTCTTTAATTCTTTCTAAGTATTTTGAATGTGCAATTGCTTTATTTAAATAAAAGAATGTCCAAGACAAAGCTATTACGTTTCTTATGAGTATATACACTAGCAGTGGAATTTACTGCGATGCAACGGGGCGCCACCTGAAATCTTGCCTAGGGCGCCAAATTGGTTAGGGCCGGGCCTGTGGAAGACACTTCGTATTAACTGACTGTTTCAAGCAGACCCTGGGATACAGCCCCCAGCACTGCCTATAGGAGCTTCTTTCACAGGGGAGAAACACCAGAAGAGCCCTCAGAGTGCAGTGTCAATAACAAAGCAGTGGTACCGCTGATCCTTGCAAAAGAGAATCTACATGACGGGGAAGAGGGTCCTGGAATTTTCTTAAATTTCATTTTAATGCACACAAAATAAATGCTGGATGTTTGGTATGTTCAGATCTATGACCATGACTTGTCCTACACGCGCTCTAACAAACTACCCCCAGTGCTAAAACTTTCTATTGCTGTTCCACCACTGGTGATGCAGTGACTTGACAAACAGGTCAGTGGAACTAGGTTCTTACATGCATGTGTCTGAACAGCCTCACAACAGGGACAATTAATAAACTTTTTAAACTGCTGGGAACCTGAAAGTCAAGTTTGAGGGAGAGCGAAAACTCTGTCATTCTTTTCTTGTTTCTGCATCTTAAAGTCTGGTTGCACAACAGTACAAATACCAGCTACAATAACAAAAACTGCACAGTGAGTTCCTTTAGGACCAACTAAAAGAGGCACAAACACTAGTCTGAGCAGTGACAGGGTTCAGACTGTTCAAATCTAAAGACCCACATATGCTGTGCATGAGAGATAAGCCTATCTTAAATGCATTGTGTCCCTTTGATAAAAGTGAAGTCTGAAGATGAATTGCAAGAACTGATAGGACTTGAAAAAATGTGGCCACTTGCTATATGCAAAGCCCTCTGCAGACAGACTGAGCAGGATTCACTCAGACAATGTGGGAAAATATGGGACCAGGTTCATTTTGAAAATGCACAAGATTCCACATATTCCTTAGTGTACAATGAAGACTGCATAGATTAAAGAAAGCAGAGGTGCAACTTGAAAAACTGTTTGCCCTGCAATAGTCAGACTCACTTTGCACTCACCAGTAAGTTTAAAAAAATAGAACAACCTGATTTCCAGTTATGGTTTGATCAGGGATTGCTATGCAGATTTTGACTTTATTTCTTGGAATATTTTAGCCTGTCAAGTGATCCACTTTTCAGTTTAAGGGGAAAAACTATCCAACATGTTTTTAATTAGCTTTACTCCATCAACACAAACAAAAGGTGGTCAATTGGAGGTTAGCTTACCGTTACTAAAGGATTTTAACCACACTCACCAGATTGATATGGTTTTGACTGAAGACCTTTGATCACAGTGCCATATCAATATGGAGCCTGGCTTTTAAGGGTTAGCAAACAGAGGTGAGGTTATACAAAGGCCCAGTGCACAGGACTGAGTTGTACCTCAGTGTATTTAGAACGTGACTGCAGAACAGAGCCTTCACCTACAGATCATCTACAAACTCTCACATTTAAGAAACATGTCAGCTTGAAATCCAGGTGAAACTTTCTTACCATGACTAAAGATTTAACCCCATTCTAACCATTATACAAGTCACCGTGCTATGCAGTCAGTCCAAATGTCATCTTAAAGCAACAAAGCAAAGATATGATTTAAACAAAGCAAGAGTAAAATAAAAAAAGGGTCAGACTTTTTTTTAACTTCTTTATAACCCAAATGAAAGCATTTTCAACCAAAACAAATAAGTGACAGCTAAAAAAAATTGTGTAGTTCAGTAAAAAAACTGAATTACACTTAATGTATTACCCTGCTACTGGTGGAAAAGAAAAGGTTCCCATGTTGCTTAGGGCAATGAGGCAGGATTTGGGTCACATTTCACTTTCACAGAAAAAGAGTGTCATGAAGAAACAAAACCTACAAGGTGGTCAATTTCCACATAGTTTGTTAAGCCACAAAATGGCATGACCACAGCATTCACACAATCCACTCAAACTGAGCAGACAAAATATGAGGAAGTATTTCTGCCTCAATGAACCGTTTCCATGCAGCAAAGCAGAGATAAATAAAGAGGGTGTTAAGCTTTGAACTTCAACTGGTGATTATCACAAGGTAAAAAAAAAGAGACAGAGGCATTAATTCACAATAATTATGTGATCTAGCTGTTCTAACATACTTCTGTTAGCTATGAATTTGCCCAAACAAGCTTAACAAACTGTGCCAAAACTAAGGTGGGTACAACAAACACTTTTGCCATCTCTAGGTTTGTTCATGAATAAACAGTGGAGTCATGAATTGGAGAGAACAAAAACTCAGGGATGTTTTAGCAGTTCACAACATCTGTGCTACATAGTGTATTAACCACTTCTTCACCGGTTCATCCATCACTTCAACACAGCAACATGTTTGCACTGCACACTGGCCATAAGCAATAATAAAAATCTGATTCCCAGGCAACATCTGAAGTCTTCAAAGACAATGACCATGTGATCACAGGTCACCAGTGACCTTGCATTTCCTGTCACATTTCTTCTGCCTGCTATTTAATACAAGCAAAGTAAAACAGCTGTAAATATAATTCAGAGTTTTACCAAGAATATCCAACATGAAGCTCCTGTTAACACTTCAGAAACATGTTTACACTTAACAGACAATATGCAAGTGTTATGGAGGTATTGCATGCAATCAGAGCCCATGAGTGCTTCAGACCTGACAAACTGTTAGCACAAGTTTTTGTGTTTATTGTGCTCAATTTATCCAAGAGAAAAGACCCTTCAACGCTGTCAATCAAAAGCTTCTACACAACCTGGGTGTTCAAACGCGTTAACAAGTTTTTTTGCATGGATCAATAATGGAGCACGTAACAGGGAAATGTCGACTGACGAGCAGGCGCGGAAACCCAAGTCAGACTAGCATGCCTCCATACAAATACAGCTGTAGTGTAATCCTTGATGAATTTGTGAATATGACGCCAGCTGCCCATAAACAATCCTGTGCAGATTCTGAGCTGCAAACTGGGCAAATTCTAAAAGTGGAAAACATGCGCTGTTTCTAGGCTGCAACCCCCTCTGTGCACAAAACAGAATTCCCTTACAGACAGTCTCTCCGTTGCTGCAAGAGAGTGCATTTATTGGATAAAAGGCCAAATGAAGACATCTACCTCACAATAACTAGCCAAATCCGAAATCGTCATATCCTCAAAAATCGGGCTGGGTTGAGAAGCTGTCGGTGCAATAACGACAAAGGAGCGAGGAGGGCAAAATAGTCCCCGACTACGTCCTTGTTTGATTCCTCAACAACGCTGCTGCTGTCAAAAATCCCCCACCAGGTCCATACAAAGCAGAGCCATGAGCTCACACGCGCAGGAAGTGACCTCATGACTGACAGAAAAGACGCACACCCCCTGACACACCTATAGTTTCAGCGAATAGAAAGCGCGCAGCCGTTTCTCTTGAGAAGGACGCCCCCTAACCACGGGACACTGCTCATCACCTCCTTCCACATCTTGCTCCGACGCGCTCTTCCAGTGACGCAGTCCGTGACGGGAGGAAGCTTCAGATGCCATATTTGTGTCTGGAGGAGCGAAGAGACATGTTTTCATTCACAGAACCTTTTTACCAATCGAGACACCTCTTTACTAGAACTCAGCTGGTGACAGGAGACGACCGATCGGACTACTCCGACACCGCTGCCTCTGACAAATAGCCTCTTTTGGTTAACTTGGAGGTGCAGCATTAAGATTTGCTTTGCTTTCTGATTCAGCATTTATTTCAGTACATTTCTTCATAACAGTCGCCTACGTTTGATTTATAGACCAAAAATAAACAAATAAATAAATGTATCGATTTGTGGTGGAAAGAATATTTTGACATGATTTCCGCGTTCCCTAAAATAGCTCCTGAACAGTTTACATAAATTACGAGACATTCTCATTATAACCTGGATAATTACATGATTGAGTTACAAAAAAGTTATCAAGAAATGCAGACAACAAAATAAGTCATCTGTGCAATAACGTTACAAAGAGGTTTGACTGAGAAAATACTATTGAATGCGCACACGATGCCAAACTGTTTATAGAAGAGAAAACATGCAGAAATACCTATTTCTCATTCCCATTTGTTACTGTATGTTGGAGGACATCACCATACCACTGCGCTGGACAGGCAGTAGTTATTAGGCTATTATTTGGACAGCACATCACATATCTGTCTCTGTCCATGGATGTTGGTGGACTTTAACATATTTTGCTTGCATGTCATGTAAAAGCTACAGAACTGAACAAGTCTGAGTTTTTGTTGATCACACAATCTGTGAAAAACAGTGCTGAAAAACAGTGCTGACCAGTGCATTATCAATTGTGAACAAGAAAATGATGTCCTCTTCATCTGGATCACATGGCAGCTGAAGAAAACATTGCCCTCCACACTGACACCAGGCCAGGTCCCGAGGGTTTCAACTGTTGCAATAAACTGCCCATTAATGAAGCAGCTCTGTTTTCCCAGCTCATGCCAAATGCAGAGTGTGTGACCGTGTTTGCCGATTGCATTTCTATGCTCTCTTGTTTCCCCATCACATTCTGCCCACGTCTCTGGCAAAGCAATGTGAGTGTCACGCTAAAGCTTGGCTCAAGGCCTGGAAACAGCTGCCGGCTGTTTTGCATGAGTCCTGGGACAACTGTGGATCCTTCACGACCACCACACACATGCAGCACTCACATGCACACTAGTGGAAGAACTACTTTGCTTAAATATAAATCTCATATAAAGAGCACTCATTTGAAATGTTACCTGTGCCTTATCATGTAAGCGCCGCTTTAATGTTATAGTTGGCTGACATGTAGCTAATGTGTTGTCAGGACCATCAGTACTCACACACTTACTGAAGCCAACAGTTGACTAAGGTCTGCATCAATATTCATTTCACCATATAACAGGAATGTGAAGAAACAGTAAAGTAAATAAATACAGTAGTTGGTCAAGATGGAGACATTTTAACTACTTCATGTGCTAAGCATGTAAGTTGATACTTGGCATTGAGAATAGTATTTTGACCAAACTATCCAAATGCAAGGTCCACCTTTACACTTTCTCTCCATGAGTAAAGGTCAAGTACAAGTAGCCTACCTAAAAGTGTACTGAAGTGCAGTATTTGACTTAATATACTTGGTCACACTCCACCACTACAGTCATTGGACCAGCTTTCTGAGGATTAGGCAGAAACACAGTTCAGCTCTACATGGAATATAAAACCAATAAATGCTAAATTGTAGTAATATATAGTACTCAAATGGAAACCCACACAGCTGTCAGCTGCAGTGCACTGAGATTCTCCATTGCCGCTGGTGATTTCTCCATGTGATGAGGACATGGAGAAACATTAGGCTCAGAAGATACGACTCATTGCAACATGACTCACAAGAGCAGACAGAAGTAACAAGTTAAAGTTTAAGACTTTCGGTCTGGAAACAGCTGGTCTCCCAATTAAGGGGAGCCAGAATGCTTTCCACATCTAGATAATAAACACAGCCCCATTCAATTACAACACGTCTGTCCCTGAGCTGAATCTAGCTGTAATAAAACAGATTATGAGGAAGCAAAAACTTGATGAAATAATGTGATCGTGTAATTTATCAAAGGGCACCTGGCCTTAGAATTACAGCTTGGAAGACAAAGTGCTCATGGACTGTTTCTCAAACTGCTGCTTCAAATTGAATCATACAAATTATTTGTTGTAATGACGCATAAGAAGAAAGCAAAAATGGTGATGCCAGTGTTTACAGTACTTTGTGTTTCATCCTCAGGTGACAGTATAGATGCACATGAATAGTAATATTTAACCACATTAAGCCAAATCTAATTAGGCCTGGGCACTCTATTCTATCACTCGTGTTTTCTTTCACATGCAGTATAAAGTTGTACCTTTCTGTACAATAAATGTGAGTTAATGTTTTCATTGACAGGGTAATATTGTGGCCTACTGAAGGACAGTAAGTAGATCACTGTGGAGATTTAACAGGAGACAGACCTCTGCTGCCACCTGCTGCTGAAAAGCTGCACATTGCAGTTATTTCAGCTTCATTATATTTTAACCCCATCTAATGCCGAAGGCTACAAATAGAGGGTGCTCTAAAGCCATTTGGGGCAAAGTGTCACTTTGGTAAACATAAATAAAATTGACTTGATTTGCCTCACAGTAAGAAGGTTCCAGGTTTGTGTGCAGAGTTTGCATGTTCTCCCTGTGCCTGTGTGGGTTCTCTCCGGTACGCCAGCTTCCTCCCACAGTCCAAAGACACGTGGCTTGATTGGTGACTCTCACTTGTCCGTAGGAGTGAGTGTGAGTTTGAGTGTGTGGTTGTTTGTCTATATGTCAGCCCTGTGGAAGACTGGTGACCTGTCCAGGGTGGACCTACTCAGGATTAAGTGGTATAGATAATGGATAGATGGATGGAAAATGACTGGATGTGGGCAAAAAACCATTTACTTTGCTGTGGGTACTAAACTAAATTGTTAAAACTTTCTGACTGAAAATTTTAACTTGCATTGTGCTAATAATTTAAATAGCTGAGTCCATCCTGAATTTAAATGCTTACAATAAGCTGAAGTTTTTAAATAGAAAAAAAGAGCTTTGATTTGAGACATGTAGGATGCTGGCATCAAAACAACAGGTTTTTCTTTAATGTTACAAGCCATCCCCGATTTCAGACGTTGTGACTGTTCTTAGACCAAAGGATTCACTGATCAAGAAAATAATCTTGAATATAATCATTAGCTGTAATCCTAAAAGTAGGCAGAAAAAACAATAATAGTAAAATGACAATGAGATGAACCAAAAGTACAATATTAGGCAAATAAAGCACAAACATTAAGCACGTGAATAATATCAAGTGTGCATCCACTAGGTGGTGCTTTTGCCAAGTCTATAACAGTACAGGCCTGGTAACCGGTGTTATTTAAGTTACTGCTGACTTATTAAATTAAAATGGTTTGATTATGTGTAGAAAATCTAAATATGGATATAGAATAAATATAATTGCTATAAAAACATATTTTCTTGGACTGAATATTACAGGTTATAATTATCGTGGCCCAGATGAAGGCTTCACGTTTCTTCATTTCAGCAAATGCACATTGCTTTGTGGTTAATCTGAGGGGCCTTCCCACACAGTCCTATCCACTTACAGTCAATCAATAACACTATTCCATTTATACAGCTATGACATCACATAAAAGCTTAGAAAAGCATTGTTGTGAGTGTTATTCTTTTCAAAGTCCTGGCAACTTTGGATAAAACTACAGAATATTGAGTCCCAGAAGCTTTTCATTAGTTCCTTATTGCATTGGATATGAATATCCCAGGATTGATAGCAAAGGTTGTGGCAATGTTTTTGGCGAAGAAGCGAGGCAAGAGATGAAGGATGGAGGCTGGCCTTTAGAGAAGCAACCCCAGAAATACGACGCACACAGAACCACTGTTTTATCGGGCTTAGTATTCAGCTCACTTTGCTCTATCACCAAAGCCAAGGCTCATATCAGTTCAATATGGTGGCTGATGGACACAGTGGGTGCAGCCCACATACAAGTACAGTCAACACCGGTCTAGACACATGGGATTCAGCACAGTACTCAGATTTTTTTCCCACACCACAATGTTACAGCTCTGTGCTGTGCTACTCCAGCGACGTACCATCACATAATCCTTCTCATTGTGTCAGAGACATTTGGTGAATATGTAACCAGCTTAGCACGTTTGGTATGACTAATATGTGACAAGGTGAAGTACAAAATGTGTGCATACTGGAACAGTGCAAGTATGTACAGTAGAAACTCAGTAGGTCTGTATATGCATATTTATAGTGAAACCCATATTAATAGGCAGTTTTATTCTGACAAAGTTAATCACTTGTTATATGACTGTAGAGTGAAGATACGGGGGTGAATGAGAAATCTCACTGTGAATGACAGTCCTAAGTCTGACCTTAATATGAGATACAGGGCTGCAGTCTCAGACAGTGAGGAATGTCTGATGCCCAAGTCAGACGAATACCGGCTGGCAATCACCTCGTCATTTATCTGCATGTGTGTGTATTTATGTATGCTGTTGGCCAGTGATAGAATACTGTAGCCATCATCTGCTGCCACATGAATCACTGTAGACCAAGAGGTGAGACTGTGTCACGACTCGTCTTTCCATCTGCTCTGCTCTGGGGCTTTAGGACGTGCCTGGGCTGCTAGTTAATCCCAGGAATAAATGAAGATAGTTGAGTTAGTTTTTCAGAGATATTTCCAGTATTTTCCATACTGTTTAACAGAACAATTGTTTTTTTATGTTCAATACTTGAGCATTAAAATAGACTGAACAAGTTGATCAGGAGGTTTAACAGAATCTGGTGATTGAAGAGTGGTTCATTGTTTGGGTAGCTGACACACCTGAAGAGAGCAAACACTGCTGTGAGTGTAGACGAGCTTCATCACAGAATGGCTTTGCTTTGGAAACCATTTAGCACCTGACTGTGAATAGTCACAAAATCTGAAGTATTTAAATGGACACACTGAATGTAAGAACACAATGTCAAAGACAACCTGATTCATGACTTTACTTTTTTATTAATATTTGAAGTAGAAAATTCAAATCAAAACAAATCTCATAGCGATGACTTTACCTGGTGGCCTGCTCTGCTAAGAGACGACCTGATGACACGGCTTGGACAGCTGTGCTGGTCTGCTTTATTGATTCTGGGAGTTTTTGATGCTGTGTTGTCTGTATGATGAAGTATTGCTGCCCTTCGGGGAAGGCAGTAGGTTGTATAGTTATCTCCTGATTGGGCAAAATCACTACCCTGAAACCACACAACCTACTACCTCACCCCGTACGAACACCAGATAAGTCTTACAGGTATAACTTGTACTGGAAAACACTGTGGTGGAGTGACATACAAGTCTGCACATATTAAACAGAGTAAATAAATACTATGAGATACAATTTTCACATGTGGGCAATAAATACACTTCATATCAAAATCATTAAACAGGAGGGAAAAAATGTTAAAAAGTTAGAAACAAGATCTAAAAAGTGATAATCAGATGAGAACAGTTCTGATAAGATATGTTGGTGATTGCTGCTGGATGTCTGGTACAAATAACACCAACAAGCCATAACAACACTTATGACAGAAACACTTTTA